AGGTCTGACACAATCCATGGTTTAAAGAGGCCACAAACCGATATAAGACCAACCATTTAACTTCATTTAATTTCATTTAGCTTGGTCCATTTAACTTATTTAACTTATACATTTAATTGGAAACGCTTTCATTTTGGTAAGTTAAATGAAGTTAATTTAACTTATGGTAAGTTAAATGAAGTTAATTTAACTTGGGAAATGAACTCATTTGCAACTAAATGGCCAAGTTAAATGAAGTTAATTTAACTTGGGCTGGTTTTCACCATTTAATTGGAAATGCTTTCATTTTCCAAGTTAAATAAAGTTAAATGAAATTAAATATATACATGTTTATGGCCATGAACTATTTTGGTAAGATTTTAGGTGAACAACACAAGGTTTGAGAATTGTGCACTACATTCCTTTTGGAAACAATGCATTTCAAATATCATTTCCAACAGCTTTTCTTGGTTTCTTCATTAGTGCATTCTCTGCCAAAGATTTTGGTAGCTGCCAAAGACTTTTCATTGCAAACAGACATTCTGCATTTTGATAAGCATCACTGCAGCTTTTGACTATCAAGATACAGGTGCACCTCATTTGACACAGAGGCTGCAGGTTCTGCAACTGCCTCAGGCTCCTCCAGGGCCAAGGATGCTGCAGGCTTCTTCAAAGCTGCAGAGGCTGGCCTTTTCATCGGTTTGGAAACAATGTGCAATGCCAGGTTGGGAGTATCTGACTCACACTGCTCCTCATTGCCAAATTGGTACAGCAAAAAGCCTTTGTCCCCACAAACACATTGGGCTTCCAATGTCTCACCATTGGCTAGCTGCCTCTTCATGACACCCTTCTCCTGGTCGAAGAATTGCAAAAGCACAGCAGCAGTGTCTCCATTCTCGTGTTCAGGAGCTACTTCCATGTCTGCAACAGGAGAGGCATTCCCCTCCTGAGAAGAATAATCCACTGCAAACACATTGGGATTTCATGGCTCTCCTTTTGGAAGGTGGGCTCACTCCATAAAGCTCATAGGGATTCACTTTGCTACTGCTGCTAGCTTCAGCTTTGCTGCTGCTGGCAGACTGAGCAGCCGCTGCCACAGGCAAAGAAGCTTGGGAAAATGAACGCTTGGGAGCAGCAACTTGGTGACTGGAAGGCTCCAGGTGATCCCATTTAGACATGGCATCCATCACCCTTTTGACTTTCTTTAAGTTTCTCTTTCTCTGTCTTTCTCTTTGCAGAGCACGCCCTGAGCGCGCCTTTCCGGAGCGTATTTCAGAGCGCGCGCGAGCGCGACGTCCATAGCACACGAGCGCGCGCGCGCTCGCCCTGCTCTCTTTCCTTCTCTTCTCTCTCTCTCTCTCTCTTTCTCTTTAAGTTTCTCTTTCTCTGTCTTCCTCTCTGCAGAGCGCGCCCTGAGCGCGCCTTTCTGGAGCACGAGCGCGCCGCCCATAGCACACGAGAGCGCGCGCCGCTCGCCCTGTTCTCTTTCCTTCTCTCGCTCTCTCTCTCCCTCTCTCTCTGTCTCTCTCTCTCTCTCTTTAAGTTTCTCTTCTCTGTCTTCCTCTCTGCAGAGCGCGCCCTGAGCGCGCCTTTCTGGAGCGCGAGCTCGCCGTCCATAGCACACGAGCGCGCGTGCCGCTCGCCCTGTTCTCTTTCCTTCTCTCGCTCTCTCTCTCTCTCTCTCTCTTTAAGTTTCTCTTTCTTTGTCTTTCTCTCTGCAGAGCGCGCCCTGAGCCTGAGCGCGCCTTTCTGGAGCGTATTCGAGCGCGCCGTCCATAGCACACGAGCGCGCGCGCGCGCGCTCGCCCTGCTCTCCCTGCTCTCTTTCCTTCCTTCTCTCTCTCTCTCTATCTCTCTCTGTCTGTCACCAGCAACAGAGTTGACAGAGTTCAGGGGCGCGGCCAAGAGGAGGAC